CATATAACATATATGAAATAACCCCCATATATAACATACATGAAATTACGCAGCAGATCTATACAGGTGGAGCTGGGGAAGGTGGAGGGTTACTGAAGCGCACTGCAACTGCTACAGCAAGCATTAGCCGAGTATTTGAATGTTGAGCAGTGACCTCATTGGCTGCTGATATGAAAGAACCAATCAGCTGTGCCATGTGAATAATGATGTCATTATGTCAGATTGAGCCAAAGGCTTAGCCTTCCCCTGGCCACGGGGACTTGGGGTAAAAATGGCACTAAATTGGACAAAAATGCCCCTGCACAAACAAATTAAATCTATTACGTCTGTTGTTAACAGAGTGAATATGAATAGACAGTGTCGATTGCGCCCATTAAATTAAGATCTGCTCATGTTGCACCGTATTTCATTTTAGGCGTTTTGCGTTAGACGTGTTGCGCATTTTAACCAATCACACACATATCTGTTGAGCTTAGGAATGCAATAGCCAATCAGAAGCGTTCAGATGAGTCATCATTCAAACTCCTCAGTTTTGTTGAGTTGCGCGCGCGTTCGCTGACTGAATTCCGGACTCTTGCGAATTCTCTCATCTTAAACAACAAAAGCGCAGATGTACGTACAATGTAAGTAAGAGATTCGTTTGACAGTGTATACAGCTTCAGTGATTATAACGATAGTTTTGTTTTTTTGAGAGTGCTTAAACTCGCGATAGATCAATGTTAGTGATAATGTCACGTTCTATATATAATGTATTCGCTGTTTGAATAACACTGGAAAGGAAAGGTTATATAATTATCAATTTCTAACCTTTTTATTAAATTGTATTCACGTTAAATACAAATTCAGTCCCATTAAACATTTTTTTTAGCCTACATGGCACCCATGTCTGGTTCTTGCCTAAAAAGACGGGTTTATGATTTTCAATACATTTGGCTGCTTTTAGCCTTACCCTAGATTTGGTTCACCCTCCGCCTATGGCCTGCGCCATCTGTTTCATGACAGAACTTTGTATTATTGTTACTTTCTATTATTGTAACGGGGCTGACGAGACGTGAGACGTGTGGATCCATTTGCAAGCTTTATTAAAGAGACGTGGTAAACAGGCAGGGTCAAACGATGGCAAACAGGTATATGGCGGGCAAAACACAAGAATAGTCCAAGGGCAAGCGTAGGTCACCAATCGGCAGACAGAATCACAGGGGCGAGACGAGAGGGAAAAATCCAGGAAAACAGGCAAAGATCAGAAACCGCAAAAACAGGCAATTAAATTCAGTGTGTATTGTGTGAAAGTTACCTGGTTTTGAATTTTTAAATATTGAATTGAATTTATAAATAACTTTGCACAGGTAAGGTTAGCACGTGATTCTATACTTGTCTTGTGTTATATATTATATTCAATTCCTGTGATTATACTTGCAAAATTCTGTATTTTATTATATTTATCTCAAATACAAAACCTTGCCCCATAGACTTCCATTTTAAGTGTATTACTGAAAACACAATTGTAGTTTGTTGTTATAAGGAACGAGTCATAATTATTTTCAGTGACAACATAGATACTGTTGATAGAACTTAACCTGAAATGTGAATTTTGGTACATTACGTACCATCAATACAAAACAGCGTGCAATCTAAACAGATCGTAAACAGACTTGACACTGTGTTCCTTTCACTTGCTGTGACTGCGTGTGACAGTGTGGGCTCTGGAAAGCAAGTTGCAACTGTATGAAGTACAGTGTCTTTGTGACTATATATGACTATAGTACTATATAATAATATATCTTTCAGATGTGTTCAAAGACTGTTGAGTGTGTAGCGTCCATCAGTCTATTTCAACGGAGTGGCCGGACTGGAAAAGCTATTTGTTTTGGACCTCTTCCTGTTGATAAAACCTCAACCCTATCCTACAGGCTTTGTCTTCCTCTCTTTACGCCCTTCAGTGCAGAAAAAAATAGAGATGTGCTTTTAACGACTATCTGGGCCAGCGCTAAATTTATCACATTACGTGCCTCAAAATAAGGACATATGGAAACTCTCATAACATGATCCAACATTACAGTGAGATTCAAAATACATAGCATAATTACTGTTCTGTAAAACTGACAGCTGGAAAACAGGACCAGACCCACCACCTTTTAAAAATGGTGGAGTTTTACATTTATGAAGTGAATATGAGTGGCCACAATGATGCTTGGATGCTCTGGGTGGCTACCAGAGTGTTGCTATGCAGCTATAGGGTGTAATAAGTTGGGATTGCAGTGTGGTTGTGTGTTCTGGATAGTTGCTGAGGTTGTGTTATGAGAAGTTACTATGATGGGTGTCATGAGTAGTTGCCAGGGTGTTGTTAGGGTGTTCTGAGTGGTTGCCAGGGTGTTCTGGTGTTGGTATTGTTGATATACAGGATAATATACAGTTGCCCAAGTTCTGGTTGTTTCCAGGCTGTTGCGTCTATACGGTTACCTGGGTCTTCTCTTTGTGGTTTCTAGGGTGTTGCTATGCAGCTATAGGGTGTAATAAATTGGGGTTTCAGTGTTTTTGTGTTCTGGATAGTTGCCATGAGGTTGTGTTACTAGAAGTTACTATGAAGGGTGTCATGAGTAGTTGCCAGGGTGTTGTTAGGGTGTTCTGATAGATGCCAGGGAAATGTACAGTTCTGGGTGTTTTTTTTGGGTTGTTATTGGTGGTTGTCTGGGTTATATATAGCCTAAGTGTTCTGGGTGGTTTCTAGGGTGTTACTATGCCGTCGTTCAGGTGTTAGGAGTAGTTGATGTAGGTGATATTAGTGTGTTCTGTGTAGATGACAGGCTGTTTCTAGGGTGTTCTGAAATTGGTCTTGGTGATAAAAGGGTAATATACAGCCCAAGTGTTCTGGTCATTTCTAGGGTGTTGCTATGTGTATATGGTTACCTGGGCATTCTGGGTGGTTTCTAGGGTGTTGCTATGCAGCAACTAGGGTGTAATACGTTGGTGTTGCAGTGTTTTCGTGTTCTGGATAGTTGCTATGTTATGAGGAGTTACTATGATGGGTGTCATGAGGGTGTTGTTAGCACATTCTGGGTGGTTGCCAGGGTGTTGCTAGGGTAATATACAGTTGGGCTAGTGTTATTGTCGTTTCTAGTGTGTTGCTATGTGTTGTCAGCGTAATATACAGTTGGGTGTTCTGGATGGTTTCAAGGGTGTTACTATGCAGTTGTTAAGGTGTTATTTGTGGCTGTCAAGTTGTTATGCTTTTGTTGGGGTGTTGCTAGGATGATCCACATAGTTACTAGGGTAATAAAATAACAGAAACACTCCAGCTCAGCAAACTGCACAGTATGACACAGCATAATCCAATAGCAATAGTGAAACCTGACCACTAATTGCAGACACTGCTAATAAAGAAAAACGATTATGCATGGAAATAAATAAATATTCACCAACGACAATGGTAAATGCATATGTAAAGCATGGCACATTGTAATCGAGAGACCTGACGTTTATCTGACTTACGAATACACTCTATACACTACTCTAACAGCCGCTTATTCATGGGGATATGAAAATGTAAACCACTTGGCAGTGTGAAATGACACCATGCTAATGTGCGTATCCATAATTCATTAGCTCAATCCATTTCGCAGTGAACTTGTGCATGTGTGTGTGTGTGTGTGTGTGTGTGTGAGAGAGAGAGAGAGAGAGAGCAATGGATAACAAAACTAGACATTGTAAATTACCAGTCTGCCTGTTTTACACAGATGAGTTACAAACGACTCCCATAAGCTGCTGGTGTCATGCACATATTGATGTCCTCTCCTGACAGCACACTTTACTCTTTTGTTTTTCTGGTGTGAACATTAAGGGTTCAGTGTATTAACTTTTTTTTTTTTTTGCATTTATCTGCAAGCACGGATGTATTAATAATATTTGTGTAAAATTGAAACTACAAATTGTGGCTGGCACTGTTTACATTGTCACATTATACTTGCAAACTTGTGGTGATAATGCTGCAGCCCTTATTAAAAAAGTACTATGGTGATACCATGGTAAAATGATGGTATCAGGTGATATAGTACCTTGGTACTTAGGCCTAAGTATTGAATCCCGTATTCATGCACCATGGTATTGAAACAATATTCCAAGGTACTCCAAACAACACAATAATATCACAATGGTACACGTTTAAAAAAGAAAAAAAAAAGACCCTATGTTTCTTAATAGGAAACAGCTGTTACAGTTTGCCCACTGCTTTCAGCGTGAACTATGAGTGGGTTACTTTTAGTTGATCGTCCCCTCAAAAATTTGAGCAAAATCCGAAAAACTAACACCCTCTGCCGGTCAACCTCTGACAACTCTAACGTTAATCGACTAAACTCACTCACCCTTACTTTGGAAAATAATACTGCCGCGAAACAGAATCTTCTCATTGGACTACAGGCTCCTAGAAAGAGACTTCACGTGAGATTTCATCACCTACTATATGATATAGTAGGTGATTAATTATTATGATAAAGAAAACCTGCATGTTTTCGTGAGCATTGCTTTACCTGAGTTCGACTGTTATTGGAATTAGCCATTTATTATATAAAGACCTAGTCAGACTGTTTGACCGGTGAGAAGTTTATACTAAAATTTCTGTAAAAACGGATCCCTCATCATTGAGCCACATAAAGCTACTTGGGTATGATGCCATACTGAAGCGCGTTTACTCGTTTTGAAAGTTTATACTTAAACATTCGTACATAAATAATTACTAAAGAAACACTTCACTACATTGTGCACGTGTTTGGCCTTATTGTTCTGATAGTGCATGTTATTCTAAATTTATTTGAAAAGTATAAGTCGGTAATCTTTAACAACTTTGTTTTAGCTATATATATAGGCCTATATAATTATTACATTTCTCCTATAAGCTAAATTAGTTTTTCAATTGCACTGTAAAATTACCCAATGAGTTACTCCAATAATGACGTAATATTAAGTGCAGAAGAAAAACTAAACCATGCCAAGCACATCTAGATAGATTACCATTCGGCAGGGACCATGCTGCCATCAACGTCCCACAGAGTGTTCTTGCCGTTCATCTCCGTGCTGTAAATCACCCATCGATGACGGCCTGAAAGTCACACATTGAAAAATGCACATTAACAAGGCATAAAACACATTTGTGTACAGACAGCTAAAGTATGTTCACTCATACCGATAAAGTATCTGTTGTCCTCATAGTATTTGCTGCCATATTTGTCAATACCCACCAATGCTCCAGTCTTTATATCATTCACCCTGAGAAAGACACAGTTTTTTTTATTATCAATTATTCATATATTAAGTCTACTATTTAATGTAATAAGTAAATAATGTGCATAAAAATGAATAATATACACATATCCCCTAAAATATTTAGTGCAGGTCCAAAAACAGTAGTGTTCATTTCCTAATAATACAATGACATAAATTAATAAGGATAAAAATGATCATAATAACACGTTTTATTAGTTCTAATTTGGACGATAATGTTTATATTTTTTATTTGTTTCTATGTACATGCACTTAACAGATCTCACTGTATAAATAAAAGAGTTTACTGCAATATGCCTTGTTGTATTGTGACACCAGATGTAATATAAATAAGCGAATTAAAATAATTACTCCGGTAATTCCAAATGTTATTACCGGCACTCTCTGAGGGCACTGCTTTGGCTTCAGGGCCTCACAGCTGTACACACGCCATTTTACAGCACTGTTTACCTCTAAAGCTATAAAAACATATTTACATGAGGTACCCACCTGAGGAGCTGCAGCAGGAAGCCTTTAACACCGCCGTGACCGGTGAGCTGCCCCACGGCCCGCCGCACTATGCTCGCGTACTCCGCCATAAGCGACGGACTCTAAACACTGACGGACTGCAGCGCGACTCTACCGTTCCCCCCTCTTCACACGACGGGTTCCGCCAGCACTCTTATAATCCTACAATCATTTTAAATTCATGCCGAGTGCTTCACACTTTGTCTCTCGTTTGACTGAATTACAGACTGACATTTAGTTCTCTGAGATGTGTATTATATGTGACCCTGGACCACAAAAGCAGTCTTAAATAGCACGGGTATATTTGTAGCTATAGACAACAATACATTGTATGGGTCAAAATGATCGATTATTCCTTTTTATGCCAAAAATCATTAGGACGTTGAGTAAAGATCATGTTCCATGAAGATATTTTGTCAATTTCCTACCGTAAACATATCAAAACTTCATTTTTGAGTAGTAACATACATTGCTAAGAACTTCATCTGGACAACTTTAAAGGCGAATTTCTCAGTATTGTTGATTTGTCTTTGCACCCTCAGATTCCAGATTTTCAAATAGTCGTATCCCAGCCAAATATTGTCCTCTCCTAACAAACCATACGAGCTTATTTATTCAGCTTTATGTATACATCTCAATTTTTTATTGACCCTTATGACTGGTTTTGTGGTCCAGGGTCACAATACAAATTCCTCAAATTATAATCAGACTGAAATTAAAACATGATTTTCAAAATTAACTTTATCATTTACCTGAAGCAATGAAACGAGCAGCAGGTTCATGCTTGCTATGCGGTACATATTCATGTCCCCGTTATATCGTCTGAATTTAAACAGCTTTTAACGATGGAAATCATATTATTTTATTTTTGCCACAATATCATAATTACATTGAGGCAAATTCTGGCGATTAAATCTAACAATGTTTTTACTTTGGTTTGAGCAGATCTCGTGTCTGGGTGATGTGCATTAGCAGACATTAGCAGTTTATTACGAAATATTCCAGGTGTTTCAGTGATAGTAATAATGATTTATAGTGCAATTTAAGTGTCCAAGCTTGTCCAGAGCATGTTTCTGAAAGTCTGGTTTGCCCTTTAATAAAAATGCAACACAACACAAACATATTCATTATTTAAACGTTACAGAGTTCAATCACTGACTAGACTCCCACACACTGAAGATTGCACTCATAGATTCATATTTTGCCAGTTAAATATAATAGAGCATAAACAGAAACATTTACATGCACTACATAATTTCCCATGACTTTTCCAGGGATGAAAATAAGATTTTCCGTGACTCTGGGAACCCTGTATATCACATTTAATGTGTTCATAAAAAAGGAACTGTCTCCAACAAATACCAAAATACAGACATTTTCCCCCTTGATTTGACATTTATTATTCCTATATACATCATTCATATACATACAGAGAAAGTCAGTGCTTGGGGCGGGGGGGCAAAGTTCTCTTTGGAACAAGTTCTTAAGAACAGATTCCTTGCACTTCCTGTATCTTTATAGACACTTTTTCTAAACATAAGTACACTAGTACAATAAAAGCCAAATGATCCAACCGCAACAGTTGCGGTAAACCACTTTATCCATACTACTGTACATAACCCATAAACCAGGGCTGTCCAAACTCGGTCCTGGAGGACCGGTGTCCAGAAGAGTTTAGCTCCAACCCCAATTAAACACACCTGAACCAGCTAATCAAGCTCTCACTAGGCATACTAGAAACTTAAAGGCAGGTGTGTTGAGGCAAGTTGGAGCTAAACTCTGCAGGACACCGGCCCTCCAGGACCGAGTTGGGGCACCCCTGCCATAAACACAACCACTAACCAAATGAAAAAGCAAAGCCAGAACAAAATGATTTTCTCATTCAAAATGCACATGATTATATCCGTTTAGGCTCAAAGGGTCTGAGCGAGCAAAGCTGATGGGTGTGGCTGTGGGCGGGGTTTCTATCACTCGGCAGTGCTGATTGGCTGGCTGTTGTAGTCGGTAGACTCCATTTTGAGGATGTAGGGAATGATGCTGTCGATCTGAACGTTCCCGATTAAACCGGTGAAAAAGAGCTCTTCGGTCACCGCCGCGCTCATGAGCCGCAGAGCAGGCAGACGAACTAACAGTTTTGAAAGACTGAAAGAGGATTTATAGTTTCGTTTAAGGCCCATTCACACCAAGGATGATAACGATAAAGATATCGTTCTAAAAATCGTTCTCAATATTAAAGAATAGCAGAGTCCACACCGCAGCTATAACGATAACGGCACAGAGAAACGATATCGTTGGAATCACTTTCAGAGCGATTTTTTCCTAGCTAACGAACGATAAAAATATTGACAGCCAATCAGAATCCATCCTGCTATCACGAGCTGGAGAATTTAAAGCGGCAGATGAGCATGTGCTTAGAATAAACGCTGGTGTGGACGCTAATATCTTTATAGTTATCGTTCTTGGTTTATAGCCAACTAGCGTATCTCAAATAAAACTACATTTAAAATGTTTTCCTAAATATTCCAAATAATTTAGACCATAATCATGCACTTTATAATTGAGAATCTATGATTATTGGTTGGACAAACGCAAGCTACTACAGTCACTCACCGATATGTGTCCTCTGGATACACTTTGCTCACATAGTCCTGCAGTTCCATGTAGGCTTTCTCCTGAAAGCGTTCGATCTGAAGGGTGCCGTCCACTCCAGAGTGATCTATGAAAAACACACAATCAACTTCATTCTTACTTTTTTCTTCTCCATTTCATTCATATTTTTCAGATAGACTCCAGTTGTGCTCACCTGGGCTGAAGAGAACCACAGCTTTGAGGTAAGCATACTCGTATGCGTCAGGACTCATGCGACTCATACTGTTACAAAATTCCTGCATACGCCAGATATGCTCCATGACTAGCTTCACACGCTCTGGGGACAGTTTTTCTGTTGAACACACACACATTGCTCATTAGGTAGCTGTGTATTACGGAGCCACATGTAACATGGCATATGAGGAAAAAAAAAATTTGTAGGCTAAATCGTGTGCAAGATTTACTATTTCGTTCCCTTGATTTATAAATTGTGCACACGATTTACTAATCCGTTCCCTCGATTTGCTAAATCGTGCACACGATTTATATTAACCGAGAGAACGAATTAGTAAATTGTGCGCATGATTTAGCAAATCGAGGGAACGAAATAGTAATCGTGTGCATGTTTTAGTACATCGAGGGACCGAATTTGTAAATCGTGCGAACGATTTATTAATTTTTTTTCTTGCATGTCATGTGCGGGGCTCCGTTGTGTATCAAGTTAACTTCAAATAATAATTTCAGATAATATTTTAACAATTTGCTTTAGTACAAAGGCAATATAAAAGCAAACAATTTAGTTTTCTCTATACAACAATGTTGCATTCATGGCATATTTTTGTAGACCAACACCAAAGTTAGCATCACCCTGGGTCCTTCGACAAAAGCCAATAGAATTTTCCCATTCGCTTTTGGATTATTGTAGAAAATAAGCTCTGTGCCCAACAAAGGTTTATGAATCTTGCTCATTTTGCTCATTGTGATTCATTTTGAAGGCTAAATACAAATTGGCAGAAGTAAAAAAAACTAAACATAGGCTATAAACAAACTACACCACGGTAGCATAAATTTACTTTAATAACTTGTTTCTGGGCCAACAATGTAGTGATGGGAGAAACAAACCTTTTCGAAGCTTCAAATCAATTGAACCAATCGGTTTGAATGAACCAAACACCACACGCTAGTGACAACTGCTGGTCAAAAGTGTGTAAATGCAACAAAAATTAAAAAGCCTTTATTCACATGGCTTTAATATTTAAAAACAACACATTTGTGCACCAACGCGGTGCGGCTAACTCGCCTTCATCAGGGTGTCAATTTACAAACACACTCAAGAGTTTTTAATGCAATAAAAATAATAAAATACCATTAAATATGAAGTGTCTGTATAATATGTGGTTTTCTATTCATTTGCAGGGCTTGTTTTGTTTGTTTTATGGAGAGCTTGTATATAGAGGCCAGTAAGAGACTAACTTAACTACTTCTCCTCCTTTTAATTACACAAATGTCTCGTTAAAAATGTCTACAAATTGATGAAACTGATCCGAGATCCCTCTTCCCCACAACCCTCCTCCGAATGAAGCACCTTTGTGAGCGTGTCAAAGGCCCTGGACACAAACAAACAGAAATTTAAGCATAGCCATTTACCTCACATCTTCCAGGCTTGATATTAGGTCTACAAAGTTGCTTTCCGAACCGTGTGACATCATTCGACTCATCCCTTTGAATGTCCGTCATAACGCTGTCCTCGTTACTCATGGTCTCTATCCCCGATAGGTCGGTGCTGCTGTCCATCATCTCACGACTTTGGCTGAGGTGACCGAGTGATGTGACCACGTTGGCCAAGGTACCCAGATCTCCTTGACTAGAATCATTCTACAGTGAAAGTCAGAAAACATCAATATACATTCCTGTCCAGGTTATATTTCAGCCCAAAATTCTACAAAAAAATTCACAAATTTAATGCCGTTAAAAAACAAACACTACCATTATGTAAAAATTACTTTCAAATTTAAATAATATTATAATTTCGGCATTGGTAATGAAAACTGGGTGGAATGTGTTTAACTTTCATAACAATAATGTAAAGAAAGTACAAATTCTTGAAAGTCCTAAAATAGGCTTATTCAGCCCAAAATTCTACAAAAAAATTCACAAATTTAATGCCGTTAAAAAACAAACACTACCATTATGTAAAAATTACTTTCAAATTTAAATAATATTATAATTTCGGCATTGGTAATGAAAACTGGGTGGAATGTGTTTAACTTTCATAACAATAATGTAAAGAAAGTACAAATTCTTGAAAGTCCTAAAATAGGCTTCATTTTCTTTATGCAAATATATAATTTCGGCATAAAACTGGGTGGAATGTGTTTAACTTTCATAACAATAATGTAAAGAAAGTACAAATTCTTGAAAGTCCTAAAGTCCTAAAAATTTTCTTTATGCAAATATATATATATATATATATATATATATATACACACACACACACT